TTAAAATCCACACATGTAATTCATTTAAAGTCAGTTAAAAACCAAGTTCATAACAATTTAATGTGGACATGTTTAAAAGTATGATGGATAAAAATCATAGTGACACTTAAGTATCTCTGCTGAGGTGATGTAGGAGACAGCTATATGTGTGTGGGGAGAGATACACACGCAGGACAGAGACAGACGGTGAGCCAGACCCGCGGAATCCGCCTGTAAGGGCATGAACCTTCATCCCTTTCACACCAAAGAGGACTTCCGCCTATGCCCACTAAACTTTGGTTGGATTTTGGTGACACACTACCAGAGTGGTAGGAGCATCAATATCTTTTATTTTGTTCGAAATGGACTGAATGAGAAATTCATACAGAAGTGAATTGGAAAGAAAATGTGATTTGCACTAAACTATAGTTTGACATTTTATGCTGCACTTTATGTTCTCAATTGTCAATATTATGTGTATAACCTAAGGTATAGTGGTGCTTCCCTTGGGCTCATTTGAAACTGAAATTTATTTCTCACCTGAGATAGAGAAAGAAAAAAATGTTTACTCAGGAAAAAATAGATACAGTCTTTTGACCTAAAATTAGACACCAGACCCGTCTAATATATACACAGGTCTATTATAAACTGAAAACTAGAACAAAACGAACCTAGGTGAAGATACAAACTGAAAAAAGGGAAAAGAGTGCGCTCCACTCATCTTTGACACTTCTTTGTTGCCTTTAAGTGTATGTACATATATTCAAGTGTTTTTGTATATTGTTAAAATTCAGTAAAATGACAGCTTTATATTTAAAGTACCTGGTCTCTGGCTGTCTTATGCTCCATTAGAGCCTAGAACGGGTCCAGTAGCAGGAATTACGCTATATATTAGAGACGAGTGCTACATAAATTTGGCAAGCCAGCCAAGGAGTGGCCAAAGCATATAAACCCATAACCAGACACCACATAACAAGCACTTCTCTTAATTCATGACAGAACTATTTCAAACTTTCGGTATTTAAATTCCAAACTCATTATTAGTTAGTGGTTTAACAGATGCAGAGAGTGACAAAGAACTTTATGACTTCTTAAAACAGTATCCATTCAAAGACATATCCCAGTAGACTTGCCCCAGTCTGACTCAGACCAGCAGATCATTTTAGAGTACACATATGGTACAGCCCTACAGTCACTCTCACCCTTACTACCATATAAGCTGACAAGCAAGACTCAGACAGACGTGACTTACTACATCCAGGCCTGGGCAAGTGTCTACACACCTGCAGTTACCCAGTCAGCCACAAAGATGTATCTCACAGAACTAAACGAGATCGCAAAGCAGAATGGCAAGACTTTGCAGATGTGCTGAGAGGAGAGCTCTCTAGCATCAGTGAGACTGTTGATCAAGAGATCTCAGATAGCCAAGATGAAGACACAGAATCATATCCAGATGATGCCAAGTCATTCTCTTGAGACTGCAGCACAGGTGAGCCCTCAGCCTAGTGCTATTTCCCCACAACATGTTAATATCCCTGAAATGGATGCAGCTCAGTCTCAACAACCTCCAAAAGAAAAGACACAGCCCACCCTGAGCTTTTCTGATCTCTGCCCACCTGAAATGCAAAAAGTTGTTGTCGAGCACATAGTCATGCATGATGATTTAACAGCATACTGCAAAACTATGGCGAGAAATCCTCAGCATATCTTCAACGACTGTAAGTGATGCTGAACACCACCCTCAGGAGAGGGGGAGTAACTGCAACCAATCTGGACAGCCAGCTTCTGATATCTGAGCTAAAGCTAGGACAAAAGAAACACAACCCACCCACCTTTGTTGCTTCTTCGCACTAAAGAGGACAAACGTAACCAAAGCATCATGCATGTAGCAATACTGTGGTGCCTCAAAGTAGAAGGTGTCCTCAAACTTCCAGGGTTCCTGTGCTCAGTATGATGAAAATTGTAATACATCACTTCACAGACACAATGATCAATCTGAAAAACAGAGTCTGCAAAAACAGATATCTAAGTTACAGTCCCAGCTCTCACAAATCAAACAAAAAGACAATAAAACTCGTTAAAACAAACCATCCTTCAAAACTACAACCACCAAGTCCCCAGCTAAGAGTCCCGGACCACAAAAAGCACAGTCCAGCGACTCTGATGTGAACAATACACTAGCCACACAAACAAACCAAGACCCTGGTGCTGTTACAGGTGCGGTGAAGATGGACACATAAAGCCTCAGTGTGGAGCTGAACCAAACCCTACACTAGTAGCTGCAAAGAGACAGCTGCTGAAAGGAAGACAACTAGAGTGAAACACAGGAAATGTGTCTCAAAAAGAAATGGTGTGCCACATCAGCAAACTCACACTCAAGACAACAGTCAGCAACTCTACCAAAGTGGAGCAAAATCAACTGCACACACACACAAGTCATTATAGAAGCTATAGCATATAACGGCTTGTTGGACACAGGTTCACAAGTGACAACGATACCAAATGCAGTGTTTACATTTTAACTAGTCAGAGCTGATACCTGATGGCGCTCAAGTGTTCCCAGCCTCTCTCGCCTCTCTCTCCCCCTCCTCCCCACTATCTCTCTCTCTTCTCTCCCCTCTTTTCCACCCATCTCTCCTCTCCTCCCCCCAAACTAGTCGAGGCAGATGACCGCGAGTCTGTTTCTAGAGGTTTCTCCCTGTTAATGAGGGACCTTCTATGTAAAGTGCCTTGAGATAATGCATATTATGATTTGGTGCTATACAAATAAAATTGAATGGAATTTAATATTTCCTTAGGTCATTCTGAGTATTTTCTGTTGGGTTACTTAATTCCTCTTCTTTCTTTCTTTTATGGACAGTGAATGAAATTATTTTTCCTCTCCAGCTTTCCTGCCTCCCACAAGATAGTTGGAGATGACTCCAGGGAATCATTCATTCCTGGGTCTTTAAGAATAGCTAAAGCGCCATCTGGCAGTGGGTTTCTGTATATTGGTCCTTTTCCATTTAAATGTTACGGAGGCATGGTCACTAATAATTAAAGGGGTGGATTATTTGACTCTGTCAAGTGTAGTCACCAACCATCGCAAAGACCAAAATAACCCATGAACTGTTTTAGTGTTTCTGCAGATTTCTTCAAATGAGACAAAAAAAATAGAAAGAGAGACAGAAAAAAAAAAAAGAAGAAAACAGACAAAAAACAAAGAAACAAGACAACAAGCACAGTGCTGATCCATTGCATAACAAGATTCAGTGAGACCTGGGTCAGGTTAGTGTTAGGCTTGGTTGAATGTACAGTATTTACACTAGAATCTATGTAGCTGTGGGAGATGGTGTGTGGTCTTGAAAAGCCATGAGTTTATGTCCTTATCCCAGTATAATTGTCCATCTATGTATATTTTATCCACTGATAGGACGTTTTTTTTCCTTCTTTGATCGAATGTATTTCGGATTGGCAGTAGTTGTTTGCATCGCTGTAACATGTCGCATGGGTATTGGTCGAAAGTGTACAACAGACCTGTTCAACTAGCGGTACACAGGCCGGATATGGCCCACAAGACTGCCTTCAAATCAGGCATGACATGTGTGATTTGATAAAACTAAGGTTTATCTCTGAGCTGCCTTGTTTTGTTTGCTCCTGTGCATGGATACTATTTGCCTGAAGTCACTGCAAATCACTCATTCACCATGTGCTCCTTGTTAAAATAGTTTGCATAGACATCTTATCACATATCTAATTACATGCAAATGTATCAGAAACATAACAAATAAACATACATTACTCTGAAAAGAAAAGATAAATGCTCTGTATTTATATAGTGCTTTTAGAGTCTTGATGTCCATTAAGGAATACTTTACACAAAAGCTGCTTTGAGACATACACTGAACTCCAGAAATCCTCCAGACATTCTTTAGAGGGGTTGAATGTATGAAGGTAAATGTGTGAGAGCCACCAAACTTTCTGTGGACTTTCTCTGGCCAGTTCCCTTATAAGAAGTCAGCAGAATGTCCAGAGTAGCTGATTTGAGAAAACAGCAGGACATCTTCCTCAGCATTCACCAAAGTGTTGTTGATGATATTTCTAACACGGGACAGAAATGTAAAAACAAAAAGAGAACAATATCTCCAGATGAAAAAACAGTGCTATAATCGTAGAAGACACCGACGAAGACTTCAAGACAAATTATGGTGATAAGGACCAACGCCGTTGTCGATGTGCTTTAAACAAAACACATGATACCTGAATTTGAAGGTTACATACTGCCTCTGTCTGCTACACTTCCCCTCGTCAGAACACACCAGAGATTGTGTTGTTGTGATCTTGTCTGAGCAGAAAATCTGCTGTTTTGTGTATGTGTGAAAGACAAAGCCGAACCCAATTTTCTGAAGTCCAAGTCAGCAATTTACACACACACACACACACACACACACACACACACACACAC